CTGTATGTATAGAATATTACCACCTTTTAGTTTATATATGAACCTTGCATGGAGGGAGGCAGTAATCAGATGACATTCAAATTAATCTATAGTTCCTAATTTAGATGGCTTTTAGAGTGTGTGTGAGTGCCCTCTTCTACCCCCAGTGCTTGGGAAAAAACCCAGGTCTTTGTACATGGTAGGAAAGCATTTTGCCATTGAGATGTGCTCTCTGCCCAAGGTACAATTAAAAAATATTTAAGAAGTAAACTTTAGGGCTAGTAAGATGGCTCAGTGGATAAAGGTTTGCTTCCATGCCCTATGAGCTGTTTGATCCCTGGACCCATATGGTGGAAGGAGAGAACTGACTCCTGAAAATTGTCCTCTGACCTCTACATATGCATGTGTATACACAATTACATAAAATAGAATAAAAAATTAAAAAACTTAATTGTATTTGAACCTTGCCATATGATGCCATAGGATACTTAGAGACAGTAAATGGTTACTGTAGTGGAGCAAATTATTCATCATCTCAGTTAATTTTTATGCCAAAAGCAGCTAAAATCTACTTATTCAACAAACATCTTAATACAATAGTTTTATTAACTAGTTCTTATATTGTAGATTAGTTCTTTAGATTAGTTCAGCCTATATATTTTGTTTTGTTTTGTTTTGTTTTTTGAAACAGGATCTCATATAGGCCAGACTGGCCTCAAACTCACTTTGTAACTGATCCTCTTGTCTCTGCTTCTCAAATGCTAGAATTACAAGCTGTACCATCATGCTTGACCTTAGTGTTCTTTATTTGCATTTCTCTGATGATTAATGGTGTTGAACATGTATGTTCACGAACCTCTTTGACAGTATTATTATTATTATTTATTTATTTTTTTTTTTAGAAAAAAATGTCTGTTTAGGTGTTTTGCCCTTTTAAAAGTTCAATTATTTGTTTATTTAGTAGAACTGTGGCTCAAACCCAGGGCCGCCTACATTTCAGGAACCTCTTCTGCTACCGAGTCACACCTCTAGTCTGGGTTATTTATTTATTTTTTAACTCTCAGTAATATATGCTGCCTCAATAGTGGTAAACCAATAGGCCCTGTACAGACTATCTTCAAGTTCCTCTTCCCTCATCTCCTATGGGTATGGTCACAGTTTTGCTGTATTTCTCCTAGTCTCCTAATCCTTGCTGTCCCTCCATAGAAGGCTAATAAAACTTTGTAAGACATGCTCTCCAAGTGGTCTTTCAAGAAAACTATTTTTTCCCTAGCATGTGGTTTGGACTTATTCATTTACTTTGAATCTGCATTTGCAAGGGCCAGTGTAGGAAAAATGGAATTATAATTTGCAAGGGTCTCTCTGACACCAAGATCTGTGGATAAGAAAGCAGTTGGGTTCAACATGTCTTAGCAAGTGTTGATTCAAACTTCGAGTTTATTTTAGGCACCTATGAGCACAGTACAATTTGGAAAAAAAGTTTCCTGGTGATAATTAACTCAATCCTGTGTACACAGCAGATCTCAAGCCATGACTACATCAAAACTCTTTGTAAAGTACAAGTGACATCTTCCATAAAGATAGGTTCTGTAGATTAACTGAGAAAGCAGACTGAAGATAAGGTCTGGGGAAAATAGCATTATAATGATATTGACAGAGACAAACAAGCTCAAGATAAGGGATTGGGGAAGGGTCTGGTATGGTCTCAGGGCAAAGGTCACCAGGCTCTTAACTGCCTTTGGTCCCAGTCCTCTGTGTGTTGTGTTTAACATTTAACTTGACTGTCCACTAGTGCTTATCTCTGAGCACAAGGATTTAGGTGCCTCCTACAGTAAAGTATTTAACCTCGGCTTTTATATTTAATTTAGTTTTCTTTGCAGGAGGTCTCAAACTTGTGCTGTCCCTGTTCCAGCCTGCCAGGGGGCTTGGATCACACGTGTGTACCACTACTTCCAGCTTCAATTTTTCTTTTTCAAAATCTGAGACAAGGTCTCAGTATGTAGCCTGGGCAGATCCTGAAGTTTCGATTCTGCTAGGGCTGTAGTATGTGCTACCAAACCCGACACAACCTCTATTTTGTTTTATACTGTCTTCTTTTGTCTTTCATATCAATCCTTATTTTATTTATTTTTTTGTGGGGCTTGAGCACAGGGCTCTCAGGACTTTAGTTTTTTATATTTTCAAGATTGAGTGAAAAGCTGCTTGTAAAATGGAGTCTTGCAGGGGAAGGCACAGCCTGAAAAAACTAGCTTACACAACATAGAGTAACTTAGAGCAGGCCACAGCCTGATCACAACCTTTTTTTTCTGCCAGCACTGGCCTTGGATTTGCTATAATCTTCCTGCCTCAGCCTCCCAGAATCAGTTACACAGTGGCCAGTGTCAAAGTCCCCTTTCGGATGGGTATCTTTGCCAGGGCCTGAGATGCTGTCTCAGGAGCACAGTAGTGCATCATGGTCACCTTCAAATGTCCAGGTTTTTGTATTGTCCAACTAATTGGGCTATAGTTTTTTCAGGGTTCACAGCTAAAGACTTGTTCATTAGCCTGTGGATGCCTCCTTGCAGCTAGTTCATTAGCATATCAAAGCCTGCCTTGGGATTGGCTCACTTCTGAGCTGCCTGTGGCTGGCTCTTAGAAACACTACATTATTCCAAGTCACACAAAATGGTTTCACTTATGTTCCTAACAGCGAGAAAACAGGGCAGATATAGAAAGTAATGGTGCTGCCTTTTAGCCTGTCTAGCAGATGGAGACTGTCAGAGAAATGCCTCCTGTGGTTTACTGCTGAGATAAGGAAGTCTGTTCTGAGGTTGCTTTTTATTTCATGGTGCTTAGTAGATGGAGTATTGTACTGTGGGGGTATCTGCATTGGATCCCAAATATCAGCAGAATAGGGATTATAGCGTTTGTATTTTTTAAATGTACCATGTCAATATTGTTCTATGGTAATATATAGAAATCTACTCCCCCCCCCCTTTTTTTTGCATGTGTGTGGGGGCACCTGTGTAGGTGGGTGCATGTGTGTGTAGGCTAGAGTTGGTGTCCTGTCTTCCTCCATCACTCTCTACTTTACTTACTGAAGCAAGATTTCTGACTAAACCTGGAGTTCTCAGATTGGACTAGTCTAGCTAGCCACTTTACCCTGGGGATCCCCTGTCTTTGCTTCCTAAATTTAGGGATTGCAGGTAGGTTGCCATGCCCATCCAGCTTGCTTCCTTGCTTGCTTGCTTCCTTTTTTTTCAAGACAGGGTTTCTCTGTGCAGTCCTAGATGACCTGGAATTAGCTCTGTAGATCAGGCATGAATTTACACTGTTCTCATCCCTGGGAGTGTGAGCCACTACACTCAGCTTTTACCCCTTTTCCCTACTTTTTGAATAGAAAATGCATTTAAAGCTTGTTGTATGTAAAGCTGTATGTTACCAGGCTCATTGGTCTTGTTCGTACATGTTTCTTGTATAGGCTACATTGGGAGTTTGAGCTACATAGGGAGACCATATAGGGAGACCTTGCCTCAAATCAACAACAAACATCTAAAAAAAAACTGAGTATTCAGTAAGTTTTATTTGCTTCTTGGTTAAAAACATGAAAACAAGGTGAGTGACTTTAGGGGCTGGACTGTAGATCAGGAGTATAGCATTTGTCCAGTAGTCAGTCATAAGGCTGTGTGCACCAGGAGACATCTTTGTAGCATTTCTGTGCACTACAGCTTTCTACAAAGCACTTGTATCTAGAGCCACCTTTGGATTCTTTGGGTCTTGTGCTGCACTCAGGAACATTTGTGTAGATTGGTAATTGTTGTATAGAATTGTTCTTACTTCGTAAACATTTATTTATTTATTGTGTGTGTGTGTGTGTGTGTGTGTGTGTGTGTGTGTGTGTACACAACTTCACGAGTTGATTTTCTTCTTCTACCATGTGAGTCCCAGGGATCAAACTCAGGTCATCAGTCTTGGCAGCAGCAGCAGGTGCCTTCATCATATGAACTATCTTGCCAGCCTTTGACTGAATCAGATATGATCAAGTTTGCTTTCATGTACTTGTTTTTAGTTTGAGGTACGGAGATTAAACCTAGTGCCTCAAACATATTCAGCACTTGCTGCACCACTGAGCCGCACCATGAATCTTTCATGCATGCTTCGAGTAATTCCTCTGTCTGGACAAATACATCCTGAGGAAATAAGCTTGTTTTGTTTTTGTGATTATCATATGCTTCAAACTAGGATTAAACATGAAAACTACTGGCTAGATTGTTTCTTTTCATAGCCCAATTCCTGTGACTAAGATAAACAAAAAAATCCTGCTTTATAGAAATAAGGTTTGTTTGTACACTCCTGTCTAAGACATGATTATGCTGTTTCTCACCATTAATTTTTACACATGATAAAACAGACTAGTATATTTATATACATTACAGATAGAATAATAAAGCATATTTTTATCTGATTTTTATATCTAGTATTCAATAAAAATTTCTCCTTGAATAACAAAATTATGCAGGGATACTGTACACTGAAATGAAGAGGAAGCTTAGCTTTACTGCAGTCTGAGCTGGTGTAACCTAACTAGCTAGAGGATATGCAAGTCCTGATTGACAGCAGGACCAGCAGTATGCAGATTTTGTAAGGGAGAACACCCAGCTCAGAAGCAGTGATTAGAGCTCTGTTAGGAGTCACTACACTCACCCCTCGAGTCTCCTAGTTCTCGCTCTACTAGATTTGTAAACAAATAGCACAAAACAGTTCCTCTTTTGTTTTTATTAAAGTGATACTGCAGTGCTGTTTCAGCCCATCAGCCAGGCATACATGTGTGGAAGGAAATTTGATAGTCTCACTGAATTAGCTAATTTTAAGCTGTGTTCCTTGCTTATCTCTAGACCTTTGTGCATTAAATCCTATCTCGAGCCGCTCTCTTTACACACAAGTGTTTTGCTTGTGCTTTCCTGCCTTCTGTGAGAAGCTTTATGTAGGTCAGGCTTGGCTTAAGCAGCTTTCCCGAACCTGCGTCAGCTTAAGCTGGAGGAATTTTAATAAGCCCTCCCCTGTAGGCGTGGGCCTAAATGGGGCTAGCCTAGTTAAGCCTGATCTTTCTGTTTGTGAAAAGAGCTGAGCAGAGCTGAAGGCTGCATGGTGGATTCAGAAACTGCCTACTTAATTTCAAAAGAACAATGGTGGGGAAGGCTAGGTCTTCCAATTTTACCCTGTCTGAAAAGCTTGATCTGCTAAGCCTTGTGAAGCCATATGTGAAAATTCTCGAAGAGCACACTAATAAAAATTCAGTAATAGTGGAAAAGAATAGATGTTGGGATGTCATAGCAGTTAACTATAATGCAATTGGAGTAGACCGCCCTCCTCGAACAGCACAGGGCCTACGCAGCCTTTACAAAAGGCTCAAAGAATATGCCAAACAGGAGCTATTGCAGCAAAAGGAGGCCCAATCAGATTTTAAAAGCAATATTTCCGAGCCAACCAAGAAAGTTATGGAGATGATTCCCCAGATCTCCAGCTTTTGCCTGATAAGAGACAGGAACCACATACAAAGGTAAGCTTTCTTTTATTTTGTTGTGGGAAATGATGGCGCCTCCTAGCTATTGGGCTCTGGCTTAGTTGTGATAGAGATATGCATGGTAAGCATCCCCACAAGGGGAGCCATGAATAGAGTCTTTGTTTTGCTTTCTTGAAAAAAAAAAAAAAGTAAAGCTATGAGGAATTTTTCTGTCGCGCTTGATTTAAACTACTTTTTACTGTGTTCTCCCTGTTTCATCGGGCAGTTTCTATAAGTAAAGGTTAGGGAAGAATTAATGGGATGAAGCTTGTGACATCACTAATAAACTTGTTAAAGACTTCAGTAGCATATACAAAATAATGAGTTTCGTCATGACATTTTCATATATATGTATTATTGTATTTTGACTATATCTCATAAACTTTTTAAGCCTTAAAATTAGATTATTTGCTTTTGAGATACATTATTCTTATTTAAGATTACATTTCATTGAAATGGGTTTCTTGAATTTTTTTTTTATATAAAATTTGTATGAAGTTGTTTTGGAGCAAATGGAAACTGTTTTTTATGTGAAGACTGTTTAGTTTTTCTAATATGTTTGAAATAGATAAGATGGAAACATTAACTAAAGGAAGTCAATACCTAATTAAGAGATTCAGATTACATAATAAAATAAAGTGTGATTGATTAATGGTCTAGTTTCACTTTGATACTGGGTCACAGGAAAGGATAAGCTTTCTCATACTGCTCTGTAAGCTATAAAACTCAGTTTTAGTAAGAGCAACCTGGGTTAGGGCTTGAAAACAATTTTGGGTTAAGTTTGTTCTATATGATTATTTGCCTAAGAATCTTAAAAGCTGTTACCTGTGACTAATTCAAATTTTAACTCTTGATATAGATAAAAATGGCAGCCATTCTTCTACCAATCAGTTAGGGTAATTTAAACAAACTGTAAACTCTTTGTTTGTTGAAGGGCCTTTCAAACAAAGATTCAGTGTGCTCTCCTGCTCTGGAGAAGAAATGTGTAAGCAGAGTTGCTGATTACTTGTGGAACTTGAAGTTAGGAGAGAAACAGGGCAGGAAAACTTGAGCTGAGCCTGTCTGTTACTTTAGTAATTTATTGGGAAATATTTTTGAGCTTTTTACCCTATCCTGATTATTTCTACTTGATAGCATAAATTTAAAAAAGCACCCCACTTGGGGATCCAGGACATGGCTATGCAGTGGATTAATTCCTGGGGCTACTGGTAGGAATTTTCACTGTTGTGACAAATGATGAGATTCTGTGTTGGATGGATAATAATTTCCGCAGTAAAATTGTTTGACACTGTACAACTTGTTTTGAATTTTGCCTCTTTCAAAAACAGCTTAGAGAAAAATAGTTTTTGTATTACTGGCACATATAAACCTTTTGGATACTAAATTTAGATTTTCATAATTTGAAACTGATACATAAGCACTGCTTTTAGTTAGTTGTCTATTTAAAGAAATGCAGTGAATACAGAAGAGAACATTAGTAGTTACCTGTTTATATTTTGATCATCATTAATATAAACATACACATGTGAGTTTTTGATGCACCAACATTTCTCTGATAAGAATGAGTTAGCTGATTGTATATTTCTGTATCTTGTTTAAATTGCACTGTTTATTATTATTTTTAAATGAAGAATATAAAAAATATACCACTTATGTTAGTACCTATACTGACATTTTTCTGCTAGCTTATTCATTTAATATACTTCTGTATTTAATGTGCTTATACATATTTAGCTGAGATCATCACAAATCTTAATTATCTCAGAAGTTTATAAATCTTTAATTTTGATTATATTTTTACACAAGTATTACTTACTATTTGATTGGACTCTCTACTAGAGAATTTTACTGCATGTGTTATATATTTTTTCAAGTGTCTATTCTATTTTGTAACTTATTTTACAACTTAGAATGATTTTAAAATTTTTTATGTCTCTCTGAAAAGCAGATTATAATTTATGTTTTATAATCTTTTTGATCCTCTAAATTTAGACGTTTAGTTTTTAGAAATTTTAGTTCTGTTTATCTTTCTTGATACTTTCTCTAATGTTTTATTACTTATGTTTCACCAAAATGGAATGAATAATCTAGGCATAAGCATATTTTTAATTTGTATGGGACTGTAATACCTATATCTATATGCTACATACTACTTTGTAGTAGAAATTATGAAGACAATTTAAAACAATTTTTATTTATAGTTTTAACTTTCTTGTATCCCAAACTTTAGAACAACAGTTCTCAAACCTATAGGTTGTGACCGCTTCAGGGATTGCATATCAGATATCTTGCATATTGTATATCTACATTGTGATTCATAACAGTGGCAAAACTACAGTTAGGAAGTAGCCATGAAATAATTTTATGTTTGGTCCCATAAATAGTCTTCTTCCATCTTACTCAAAGTCATCAGCTTTTATGGTTTGTAGATCAAGCCAGGAGAACAAGAGCAGAAAATACAAATGATTCTTTACAGCATTTTAGAACCTCAACAATGTAGGGACAATTACTGTCTCTTTGAGAACATTAAAATGACTTTTCTGGGCTAGTGAGGTGGCTTTGTTGGTAAAAATATTTGCTGCCAAGCTTGGTGACCTGCCTTTGATCCTAGTACCTACATGGTGGGAGGAAAGAGGAGAGAACCAAATCTTAAATTGTGTTCTGACCTCCAAATACATACAAATAAATAAATGTTAAAAAAAAAAAAAAAGGTTTTCTTTTTCTTTTTTAACTTTTGCTAAGTCTGGGGAGATGGTTCTGTTAATGAAGTGCCTGCCACATAAGCATGAGGATCTGAATTCAGACCCCCAGAACACATGTAAAAAGCTGGACCTGGCAGTATTCCCAGCATTGGGAGGACTTGAAGATAGGTGGATCCTGAAGTTCATTGGCCACTTAATGGATGGGCTTATGGTTCAGAGAGACTCTACCTCAAAAAGGGGGTAGAGCACCATGGAAGAAAGACACCTGACATTGACCTTGGGTCTCTGTGGGTCCTACACTCATGTATGTACACAACACACACACACAGACACACTCACTCACATGTGCACTTACAAATTGGCTTTTCTTTATCTTACTAACTTTGTATAGTATTTGTAATTTTCTATCATTGTAAGAGCCTAATATTAAATTTAAGAACAGAGGGCTAGGGATGTAGAGAGCTTGCCCAGTGTGCCAAGCGAGGCCCTTGACTCAGTTATCAGCACCACAAAACAAAATAGATTAAGGATGGAGGAGCCCTATATGTATATATTATTAAAGTCATAGTCTTAGTCATTTTTGTATAGTTTTGAAACTATACAAAAAACCCCACTTTTTGTGTAGTTTCAAATCATTATTTTTTTCTAGCAGTTGAAGAAAGGCTTTTATTAGGGTCAGGAAATGACGCACATCCAGCAGGCACACCGAGAAAGACAGAGCAGAGAGGGACTTGGGGAGCAGAAGCCCCTTTCTTGAGGGCTAGTTTGTTTGCTTGAGTCTTTGAAAGGGCTTCCTTCCTTGTTTTAGGGTTGGTGGATTTAAGAAAGACAGGTTGTCTGATTGGCCCACAACTGTAAACATGTCCTGATCTGGCTGTGAATTTGTGGAGCTGGTCCCTCAGCAGGGGCCCTACCTGCAGGAGAAAAAGCCCACAGGGCCTTTGTTTTAAGCTGCTAGCTAGGCTTCCCTCTCAGATCCAGAGGGTGAGGAAGAAGCCAGCCATCTTAGAAGTTCACCATCATTATTACCTAGGCTGGACCCCTTTCTGTGATTTTCTGCCTATCAGGGAAATTGTCTGACTTCTAGTCCCTCCCTTCCACTTCCACCAGCCACTGTTACCTGCTGAAGGTCACTTGTGTTTGGTGGGAGTGGGGTGGAAGTGGGGGACAAGAAGAGGCTGGGTGTGTGGATTGGTCAATAGCTCCATTACCATTACTACACCGGGAGGTGGGGTGGAGGGGGTGTGGTATGGTACAACAGCTTCACCCGACCGTCAAGTTCTAAACAAAACTCTGAAATCACGACAGAAACACAGAAAACTGTGTTACTAGAAAAATGGCTCAGAAGTTAAGAGCACTGGCTGCTTTCCCAGAGGATTAAAGTTCAATTCCCAGAACCTACATGGCAGCTCACAACTGTTTATAATTGTAGACAGCCTCCTAGGGGGTCTTTTTTTTTTTTTTTTTTTTTTTTTTTTTTTTTTTTTTTTTAAGATGGGTTTTCTCT